CCGATAAGGACACAGTTTGTCCTTGGTGGAGGCGCTGCAGTTGTTAGCGGCTTTGTTGTTTCAGAAAGGGGTAAAAAGCGGTTTGAAGTCTTCAGAACATTTAGTTGTGGCCTTATTTCACTCCTATTGTCATTCTTAGCTTTGTCAACTTTGGGTTTAGCTCCACAATTGTTCCAATAATTCTCATTGTTGATTTTGGGAAAAGAAATGACGTCATAACTTACATTTCCAGTCTGTCCATTCATCCCATTTTCACTCATTGGAAGAGTCGGGTTAAGTCCCATTTCTGTTTCCACAATAGATATCCGTGTTTGAAGAGATTTGAGCTGATTTTCCAAAGCACAACAGCCGCCGCAGACGCTTCTCCGTCTCTTTCATCCCGACATGACTAAAGTTGATAAATTCCACAAAGCTGAAGTGTGTAGAAGGAGTAATCCTCGTTTTGTAAATAAAATGATTAAAGGAGAAACAAAAAAATGTAAATAAAATGATTCAAGGAGATTAAAAGGCGAAGCAAAAGCAGAGCTGAGAGACACACGACACACAATTTGCAAAGATTTTATTATTCCATCATCCATTAGACCAGAGGGAGACTAGAGAGAGACCAGAGAGAAACCAGAGAGAGACCAGAGAGACACTAGAGAGAGACCAGAGAGAGACCAGAAAGAGAGACCAGAGACAAACCAGAGAGAGACTAGAGAGAGACCAGAGAGAGACCAGAGAGAGACTAGAGAGAGACTAGAGAGAGACCAGAGAGAGAGACCAGAGAGAGAGACCAGAGAGACCAGAGAGAAAGACCAGAGAGAGAGACCAGACATTTTGCAAAGTCTGTACGCAGGAGTTAGATTTAATTATTCCATCATCTTCTGGTTTTAATGTACTGTTCATTTAAGTTTTTTCTTGTTTGTTTAAGACTAGTCAATAAAGTTTTTTTTAGACTAAAATCCAAGAATGTAATGTAAATCTCCAGGTTCAGTCCCACTGAGCACAAAACCCTGGATTCATAAAAATACATTGGTTTTATTTTCATTTTTAGGGACACTCAAAGACGCTTCACATGTTGTTATTCATTCACTTCAAACACAGTGGTGAAAAACTACTACTGCTGCCCTGAGGCTTGCTGACTCATTCTGCTCAGCTCTAAACAAGGTGAGAGACCAGAGAGAGACCAGAGAGAGACCAGAGAGAGACCAGAAAGAGAGAAGAGAGAGACTAGAGAGAGACCAGAGAGAGACCACAGAGAGACCAGAAAGAGAGACTAGAGAGAGACCAGAGAGAGACTAGAGAGAGACCAGAGAGAGACCAGAGAGAGACCAGAAAGAGAGACTAGAGAGAGACTAGAGAGAGACCAGAGAGGGACCAGAGAGAGACCAGAAAGAGAGACCAGAAAGAGAGACTAGAGAGAGACCAGAGAGAGACCAGAAAGAGAGACCAGAAAGAGAGACTAGAGAGAGACCAGAGAGAGACCAGAGAGAGACTAGAGAGAGACCAAAGAGAGACCAGAAAGAGACCAGAGAGAGAGACCAGAGAGAGACAAAGTGTCTTGCCTAAGGACACAACAGTTTGGCACTTTACAGTCGCAACCACCCCACTTTGGCAACTGGTGTTCCAAGAGGTCTCCCATCACAGTACTAACCCTACACCCACAGCTAAATAAAGGAGAGCTATAAACTAGGTGAGAGACTAGAGAGATCAGAGAGAGACCTGAGAGAGAGAGAGAGAGAGAGAGAGACCATAGCAAGACCAGAGAGAGACCTGAGAGAGACCTGAGAGAGAGAGACTAGAGAGAGAGAGAGAGAGACCATAGAGAGACCAGAGAGAGAGAGAAGTCCAAGCCACGTATAAAAAATATTGAATCATCTGATCAATGACTGCTGTTGTGTTTTAGGGCAAGACTGTGACCTGCAAGTCAGCGAAAGTTCAGATTGGAAGATTCTCCACCGCCGGCCTCCTTCAAGTTGACTTTACCTGTACCTGTGGGTAGATTTGTGATGTTGTGGACTGACATATTCATTACAATACATTCACTCAGAAAGAAAAAAACAACAATAAAAGTTTTATGTTCAAGGTGTCATCCAGGGAGAGACTAGAGAGAAAGACCGGAGAGAGACCAGAGAGATAGAATAGAGAGAGACCAGAGTGACTAGAGAGAGACCACAGAGAAAGACCAGAAAGAAAGACCAGAGAGAGAGAGACCACAGAGAGGGGCAAGAAAGAGAGAAAAACCAGACAGAGACCAGAGAAAGACCAGAGAGAGACTAGAGAGAGACCAGAGAGAGGGACCAGAGAGAGACCAGAGCGAGACTAGAGACTACAGGGAAAGACCAGAGAGAGACAAGAGAGAGACCAGAGGGAGGGACCAGAGAGAGACCAGAGAGAGACAAGCGAGAGACCAGAGACTAGAGAGAGACCAGTGAAAGACCAGAGAGACCAGAGAGAGACCAGAGAAAGACCAAAGAGAGACCAGAGAGAGACCAGAGAAAGACCATAGGGAGAGACAAAAGTGGAAGACCAGAGAGAGACCAGAGACTTTATCAGACTCTAGAGGGACAATAAAAGTGTTATGTTCAAGGTGTAAATTATGTTAAAGAGAGAGCGCCACAGACCAGAAAGGAACAGAAACTATCTAAAAAAAAATATCACAATACTTTATTTATTGTGTCCATAAGAATCATGACATGTGAAGCCAAAATTATTATATTATTATTATCATCATTATTATGTTTACAGCAGTGGAGGTAAAACTGTTCGTCTCTCCGCCTCTCGCTCCGCCCCTTCTCTGTTGTCAGCCAATCACCTTCTGCACCAGTGTCAGCAGCCAATCACAACAGAGGCCGCCTCCTTCCTGCTTCACTTCCAGCCAATGGCATCGGAGCAGGAAGTTTAAAACACGCTCCAGTCTCCGCATCCGTCTGTGTTCAAGCTCAAGGCCTAAAGTACTCACAGACCATCTCATGTCAGTCCAGATCACTCTATGTTGAACTTTGACTGCTGTATCAGTAAGATATTTATTTTGCAGTTTATTTTAGTCTGTGTCTGGGTCAACTGTGGCTTTTGATTTACCACCACCACATTTATGAATGAAGGGAAACATCTAAAGCTAATTTACTGCAGTATTATTATTATTATTATTATTATTATTATTATTATTATATTATTGATATTATTATTATTGTGGTGTTGTACTAGTTTGACTATTGATGTTAAGTCTTTTTTGTCTGTGATCACGGATTTCATAATTTGAATATTTTAATCTGTTTTAATCTGTTACTCTATTAGTATAAAACCGTATTTTTGTATAGTGTTGTGTTTCTGTCCCCACAAAAAACAACGTATTGCTGTTTGTATGATGTGTGTACTTCTGTTGAACAAGTTTAAAACAGATAATGACTCAGCTGTACACACACATGTTGAATTTTTCTGTGTTTTAACCTTTTCTGCAAATTGGAATAAATCAGTTTTCAGCTTAAAGTCCTGTTTTCATATTTCGTCGTATATATTTTAGAGCCTCAGATCCGTTGGAGAGACCATAGATAGACCGTATTGGAGACTGGGCGGTTTTCTGCTGACACCTACTGGTTCACTTCTGTACTACAGCAGACCACTGATGGAGACAGACAGTTATTAAAATACAATAGCAATACACACACACAGGTACTAAAGGAAGAAATAATAATAATAATAATAATAAAATCATAATAATAAATCCCACAAGCCTCGAGATGGAAAAGAAATAAAAATAACAATCTTTTAATTGTACTTAATGTTATCTCATCCTATATTGCACTTTAATGTATATAGATTCATTCCTTGATATATTTATTCATTTTCCACCCCTTTACTAGTCAATTTCTGGGTTCGGGGGGGGGGGGGGGGGGGGGCATCCTGAGTCCGCAGGAAGATGGCTGCTCCGTCAGCGGTGCCATAGCCTCGGTGTTTCAGTCAACGTGGGGTTAAGTGTCTTGCCCAAGGACACAACGACAGCAGACATTAGTGGGAGCATGCTCTACCAACTGAGCTACTGTCGCCCCTCATGTATACGTACACTTTTCAATAATCATTTAAAATAAAGAAAAAAGATAGTTATATTTTCAGCAGCAAGACCCATGTCCAACAATTATTTACTGATTCATCTTGTTTTTATTTCAAGCATAATCACCTCATTTCGTAATAATCACCTCATTCAAAACCTGCCTTTCCCCCTGCCATAAAAGGCTCTGAATCAAACAGTTCCACATTCACAACATGAATACGATCATACCATAAAGAGTGTTGTTTAACTGAAGTTTATTACAAAAATATACAGTAGAATGACATCAATTTTAAGTACTTTTGTGATAAAGTTGTTGCCAAATTTCTGTAGTTTAGAAAATGAGCCAAAAGGTTAAGTCACTATTTTCACAGTTCTTTGTTGATCTTTGTATTTTCTTTCCAGTGACAAATAGAGCCGATAAACACAGTGGGTCTAGTTTGTTCAGTAACATTTACGTTTACAAGCCTTTTTTGTTTAGGGAAAAACATGAATTGAATATGGGTGGAAAAGTGAAATAATACCTTGAACTAAATTATAATCTGTTTGATATGAGGGGATAATTATAAACACATATGATCACATTAGTCCAGTTCTCAGGTCTCTGTGCTGGACCAACTGGACTCTGAGGAGCACAGGGACTGGCCTCCTGCTGGTGACTCTGAGGAGCACAGGGACTGGCCTCCTGCTGCAGGGTCCCAGAGTCAGAACTAAACATATCTATACAGCAAAAATCTGAAACAGTCTTCCAGAAAATGTGAGAGAGGCTTCTTCTCTGACAATGTTCAAATCCAGGTTAAAAACAGTCCTTTTTGTCTGTACGTACTTATTTATTAACTCTTATTCATGTTCTGTGATTGCTTATACCACAGCACATATACGAGTTTTTATTGTTTCATGTTTTACTATAAGCACATTGAGTGTCCTGAACTGTGCCATGCAGATAAACTCGCCTTGCCTCCCCGCACGCTCAGGCCGTCACGCTTCCCCGCCTGCAGTGCCTCCACACCCGCGACACCACCGTGGCTCTGACCGCCGCACACCCGCGGAGGTACAGCAGCGGCGTGAGCGCAGAGTTGATCCGGGGCAAGATGCGAATGGGATCCGTGCCCTCGTTCCTGAACATATAACACCTGAACCCGGAGAAGTTACAGAAAATCACATGCACGAACATCGGCGTCCACGCGGCCAGAAAAAACGCCACAACTATCAGCACCAGGTTAATCGACGCGCGCTTGCTGTCCCGCTCCGGATCCGTTTGGGGACTCACCTTGTCCAGCTGGAACTTGGCGATTAAAAACAAGCGAATATTCAGACCAATCATAATGACCACCATGAGAATATTGGCCACGAACGCACCCGTGGCTGTGAAACTTCTTATCACCCCCTGGGGCATCAGATTGTGCATGGCCACCACTGCGAACGCGTAAGCCCAGTACACGACTATAATAACCACGGTCTTGTTGCGCGTCATGCGTTGTGTGTACTTGAACGGAGACACAACGGCGTGGTACCGGTCCGCCTGCGCTGCCATTACAGCCATAAAGGACAGGCCTAAAAACGTGGGGGCGATGTACAGCGTGGCGGGGGTGTTGCTGCTGTCCCGCACGTCAAACACCCCGACGTAGAGGTAGGAGACGCCGGTGCAGACGTCGCTGAAGCACGTACTGAACATGTAGAGGAAGCGGTTCTCGTTACGCAGGGCCTTGTTGAGCAGGATGGCCAGGCCCACGGACGCGTTCAAGAAGATGATGACAGAGGAGAGAGTGATGCTGAAGAGGAGGACCAGGACGTTACCGAGACTAGTAGGAGGCAGGAGGAGGGACAGGACCTGGCTGCGGTTACTCATCTGCGCGCACAGGGGTCTATATGATTGAATTATTATTTCAATTGTGGACATGACAAATACATCACATTTTACAATTATAAATTTCAAATTACTTTAGTCTTGTCACACAAATGAAAAGAAGCGGAAAGAAGCAAAACAAATCAATTCAATGTGTTTTTGTGAATTTGCAAAAAGGTGTCCCCGCGGTTGAAAATGTGTCTATTTGCTATAATCCTCAACATGTTTTGTTATTGGCAGAAAATGCTGTCAATCAAACTAAAATAGTATTGAAACTGTTTATAATTTCACAATTGTTTCCTGTACTTGCTTGTTTTTTTCATGTACACTGCACTGGGGATGGTGTGACTGAATCATAGGGAATCAAAATAAGGAATCCCTATTTTTTCTCAGGTTAGTTGCTCATAATTGACCTTTACATCAGAAGAAAAATGTGATAGAAATAGAAATAGATCCGGCTGTTCAAAGGCAACTTGATAACCTATCAAATAAATATATATATTTTTCCAATGGTCCTAATCTGTTCTTGCAAATAACCTTTTTTATAGCCCTAAATCAGAATCCGCAGAGGACTAAACTATTGAAACACACAGGAAATGCAATCATAACAAACCCAATGAGCCGTTGGTCCAGAGGGAGCGGGGCCACTGTCTGTAAATGTTATTAATAAATGTGTAAAAATGATTGTATTCACCAATGCTTTGGTTGAATACAATCCTGCGCTTAGAGGACAGCTGATTTTATAGGACTAAAAAGGGGCGTGTCTGTACGAGGGTCACGTGATTAACGATGTGGTGTTGGATCATGATAGGAGATGACGTCATCCGCAGACTGCTTCACAAACTTTGATTCTGAGATGATCTGAGGTCAAGGTCAGGGCTGGTTTCGAACTTTAGTACTTAATCCATGACCCCTGATTGGAAACAGCGTGTGTCCTGCAATTCTTCATGACATTATCATGGTCAGACACACACGAACACACACATACACATGTACACACGCATACACACGAACAAGCACACACAGATAGACAGACAACATTTCATATAAATAATCGGTTTCCCCAGCAAGGACTCATCGAGGACTCACGCTCCCCAGTCCTCGATCTACAGCCTCAGTCCTGGGTCTACAGCCTCAGTCCTGGGTCTACAGCCTCAGTCCTGGATCTACAGTCTCAGTCCTGGATCTACAGCCTCAGTCCTGGGTCTACAGCCTCAGTCCTGGATCTACAGCCTCAGTCCTGGGTCTACAGCCTCAGCCCTGGATCTACAGCCTCAGTCCTGGGTCTACAGCCTCAGCCCTGGATCTACAGCCTCAGTCCTGGGTCTGCAGCCTCAGTCCTGGATCTACAGCCTCAGTCCTGGGTCTTCAGCCTCAGTCCTGGATCTACAGCCTCGGTCCTGGAGCCTCAGTCCTGGGTCTACAGCCTCAGTCCTAGCTGGATCTACAGCCTCAGTCCTGGATCTACAGCCTCAGTGTGTCTACAGGTCTCTCAGTGTGATCCAGAACTTTTAAGGACATGGACAGTGCATCTCCTCTCTCCCTCTGGACCAATGGCTCCTGTGCGTTTGTTATTATTGTTATTGTTTGTTTTTATAGTTCTAACTGGTGTTGGCGAATCGACCACTTGTGATTTAGATTCATCCAAGAACAATAAATAAATGCAAAAACAAATAATACAAAAAGTATATTTATATAATGGGGCGGTGCGTATTTACTTTTTTATGATGATTCATTTGGACTAAATTTAATCTCATTTATTTATCTGTTTATTTGAACAGTTTTATTTCTGCTCTAAAGGAGGAGCTGAAGCAAGACGTGTATGAGCACCTTCTAGCCCCAAAGAATCAGGCTTTTCACATCACAATATACATTAGAACACAAAAACACACAACAAACTAACAACGATAATAATAATAAAAATGCATTGGTTTTATACCGCACTTTTCAGACACTCAAAGACGCTTCACATGTCATTAGTCACTCACTCCACACGGTGGTGTTAAACTATACTGTAGCCACAGCTGCCCTGGGGCACACTGATAGACATGGGGCAATCAGTATCACCAACAACCATTTACACACACACAAACTCGACTCCTTCTAATAGGTGTCTTGCCTATGGACACACAAAAACAGTTTGATACTTTACAGCCGCAGTCGCCCCACTGTGGCACCTGGTGTTCTCAGAGGTCTCCCATCACTACACTAACTCGGTCCTGCCCTGCACAGCTTCATAGGTCTGTCGGGATCTGGCTTTCAAGTATGGCCACAAAAACTAATTCTGCACATCTTGGATTATAGAAGAATCAACAGTCAACGATTTAAATAAGAATAAAGAATAGACCATACAAATTAGCAGCGTGTTTTTGAGATTAGCGGTACGGACCAAAGACGCACACATTTAAGGCCCCAGTCCTTTTGACGCACGTGGGACAAAAACATACATTAAAACTTTTGTTGTTTGTTTTATGTTTGCATTTGACGCCTCCTCCTCAGAGACCCATCCTCGGGACATAAAAACAGACAGGACGCACGCACGCACGGGGGGTTTGGGGATGGGTTTGGGATGCCACCATGCTCCCCAACTCCACCGTGCCTCTGTCCGTAGACTTCGCCACCGCGGGAGACTTCTTCATCTTCACCTTCCACATAGTCTTCGCCACGTGCGCGGTGCTTGTGGCCGGCTCCGTGGTCGTGGGCATCTCGTGCACCCGCTCCCTCCGCGCACAGAACCGCTTCGTCTTTATGCTCAACACCAGCATCAGCGACACTCTCACGGGCTTCTCCGTCTACTACCTGGGCCTGTTTGACGTCCAGGAGGGCTACCCGTCGCGTAATGGCACGTACTACATCCTGCCATCCTTCCTGGGCGTCAATGTGCTTACGTTTCTCTTCGCGCAATTCGATCGGTACTTCGCCGTGTGCCATCCCTTCTTCTACAACCGCTACGTGTCGCGCAACGTGGTCATAAGCATCTGCGTCTTCTGCTGGGTCTACACGTACACGATTCTCACGGTGCAGAACATGGTGCCTATCTCCAAAGCGGCGCAAATCAACGCGTTCGGGGTCATGACGCTGCAGATTATTGTCCTGGTGAAAGTGATCATGACGGTAAAACTCTACGTCATTGCGCGCAGCCACTTGGTCAGAGAGGTGGCGAGCACCGAGAGAGACAAGCGGGAGTCTTTACGCATCATCGTCTTTGTGGTGATCTGCTTTCTCGCGCTGTGGTGCCCGTCCTTCGTCAATATCATCGTGAGGCAGTTGACGCGCCAGGGTCTGAGGTTCAGGAACGAGGCCACCAACGCGTTCGCGATCCTGGCCCGGCTGAACGCACTGGTCACTCCCGCGGTGTACATCTGGGGCAGTCCGGCTCTGCGTGGGTCTGTCTGGCGCATAGTGTGGAGCAGGGTCTGTCCTTGTCACAGGAAAAGGTATAAATAAAAGTAGTTGAATGTAGATTAAAGGGAGGTTTTGTTGTAATGTCTCTGTTTGTGTTATGTTTTTTTAGGGTCGGGCTCAAGCTGGAAGAAGCAATCTAACAGGCCTGCAGTGGAAATTCAAATTCATGTTTTTTTGGGCCTAAGTAAACATATTTTTAGGTCCTAATATGTATCTATTTAGGGAAAAGACAATAATCTAAATAACAGGAAGTCACAAACAATAGGAATTTGCTGTAATTATAAGAAAGAGAAGCAGGCCCTTATTGAGGCCTTATTGAAGACTAACTACTTGTCTGTCTGTCTGTGTCTGCACTGTAAACCCTAACTTCAATCGTACTTCAGATATCAAAGTTATTTTAAATAGATTTTTCCCAGTAAGTGAATATTACTCATTTATTGTTAGTTGTCTGTCTGTCTGTGTCTGTCTGTCTGTCTGTCTGTCTGTGTGTCTGTCTATGCGTTTGTTTTGGATCCTTACCGAGAAAAAAAAATGCTCTGGGACGTTCTTGCTGTCTTTGTTTGTTTTCTTATGACTGACTGTTATTAATTGTTTGATTTTCTACTCTGCTGTTGGTAAATCTTAGTTCCATATTTCAATGTCGCACCACATTCAATTCTTCCTCTTTTCTACCATGTGAGACAGAATGTGACTTTGCACTTTTCTCATGTAAATAATGAATATTCATGATACGGGTTAGTTTAAAGAAGGACCATATGAACACAGATTTTCTCGGGAGGCCGCGCGGGTTTGTTTCAGTCCTATGGACAGCTCCAAGCGCAGATATCTCAATTAAATACAATATCCTGTTTTACTTGATTACATATGTTAATGTTGTTTTTGTATTTAAGAGATGTAGATATGAGGCGAAATGACAGCAAAATAGCAGCAACGTTAAGGCAGATTACAAGGCCTCGTGGTGCCTGGGTAATGATCCAGGGTCTGTGTGTGCGGGAGCGGATCCCAATATCTCAAAATGGGCCCCGAGCTTTCTCACTTTTTTCAAGAGTCGTTCTTTGCTGAAGAGGGTCCATGGTCATTGTAAAGTCCTCCAAGACTACTGCTGTTCAGATTTAGGGTCATACAATCAAGATGAATTGAATTGAATTGAATGGGATCTAAACCTAATCAAAACAAGCGGACTTTGTATTTTTGTTTTCCCGTTTATATACAGCTGCAGATTTGAAAGAAATGAACAAAATGAAAATATATAGACACGTTTGATTTGAGCACTTGAATATTCATTAAATCATGGCATAAACAGTGTTACTTTGCACACTAAAGCTGGGGTACCTGACTCGCATTAGACCTGAATAACACATTGCGCTAGTCCCGACCAAAAGTCTGGCCTAATGAATAAATTGCTGTGAACAAATCTTCATCTTTAATCAAAACACACACAATATGTTGCAGACTAATAAAGAACCCTGTGTGTCACTATTTGACGTTTTGGGCTGGGAGCTGATTGGCTGAGTGAGGGTGGTCCTGTCTGTCTAAAAAGCTGACAGAGGCCAAAACGACATCTTCCCTTATATGGAGCAATGATGTGTTTTTATTTTATTTTATTTTATCATTGCATTTCCTGTTTTAACTGTTCGACTCTCTGATCTGTTGTTGTCGAATCGACTTTGTGAAGTTTTCCGGGATGTTGTGATTTACAGCTGTACACATTTTTTTTATTTATTGAGAAAACCAGTGATAGACAGTGTGTCAAGAGCAAAGACCCGTGTGTGCTTTAAAAGTTAGGTCCCCCAGCTTTAATAAACACATCTATAAACTAAAGTGACTCAGGAGAAATGGGAGCTCACATTGCGGCCTGTGTTTACAAGTTGTGAAGTTTAGACAACAATTGACATCATACTTTCAGACCCCTGAGAGTTACGTGTGTTAAAAGGCTGTGGACGAAGAGGCGAGAGGGGGAGATGCTCCGGTCCAACAGCTCTGCGCCGTGGACAGGAGTGCCTCTGTCTGTGGACTTCTCTCGTCCAGAACACTACATTGTGTTCCTCTTCCAGCTCCTGTTCGCCTCCTGCACCGTCCTTGTGGCTGGGAGCGTCGCCGTCAGTATCCTGGCCACAAGAGCGCTGCGCCTTCAGAACCGCTTCCTCTTTATGCTCAACACCAGTGTGTGCGACACGCTGGTCGGCCTGTCCGTCTACTATCTGGGGCTGTTTGATGTGAGCGAGGGGTATCCATCCAGGAATGGGACCCTCAACTTCCTCCCGTCTCTTTTAGGCGTTAATATGTTGACTTTTATGTTTGCTCAGTTCGACCGGTACTTCGCCGTGTGCCACCCGTTCCTGTATACGCGCTACTTTACGCGCCGCCTCGTGATATGCGTGAACATCTACAGCTGGGTTCAGGTATTTTCACAGGCGACTATTCTGTATCTCATCCCGCTTTCAATGGCTTTTCAGATGTACGCGTTCAGCATGGTGTACCTACAGCTTATAGTCCTCACTAAAGTAGCCATGACCATTAAACTGTATATTGTGGCCAAGTCTCAGATGCAGCGAGAGCCTCCAGGTCCAGAAAGAGAGAGCAACAAGGAGTCTCTGAGAATGATCGTGTTTGTGGTGATCAGCTTCTTGATCCTCTGGTCTCCTTCTATAGTGAACATACCCATGAGGCTGTTTGGACGCGGAGTCACTTTCCACAACGAGGCCACAAACCTGTTCGCCATCATGGCCCGGGGCAGTGCACTGGTGACTCCGGCCGTGTACATCTGGGGCAGTGCGGCTCTGAGACGCGCTCTGCTCCGTGTGGTGTGGGGGAGACTGTGTCCGTGCTGCAGGCGGCGGGAGGAGGGAGAGACCCCCGCAGCGCTGAGGGACAACCGCGTACAGCAGCAGCGCTTTCCGACGGATAACACAAACAAATGAGTTTATTTCAAACAGAAAAAGAGTCCAATTATTGTGAGCAGATTTCATGAGAATCTGTGAAGATTTTCTGCTTTTTTTCTTACTCGATCTAATTTTTAACATGTTTTGTTGCAGAACATTTGAAATTATTTTAAATTATCATAAATCATTTTCGACTTATTGTTGACAAATCTGAAGGACACTTTCCAGTCGGTTTAATGTAAATGTATTTTTACAATGTAGACATTTCAGAGTAAGGCTGTAAAACCCAGTGTAATATAGAAATGTAAACAAATGTGTTTACTGTACTTTACTAAAGAGGAATGAGAACCGTCCGCAGCTCTGAAGGCCGCGTCAGCAGCAGGTTCAACACAGAGACACAAAGAAGAGAATCGGTTAAAAACAAGAAACTGATAAATCACGTTATTTCAGAAGAGACACTTTGAAAAGTGCTCTTTTCATGTTTCTATTTAGACTTTATTTTGATAAACGTTTGATCTAATATATTGTTTAAGGCTTTTAAAAACAGATCTGTTTACACAGCTGCAGGTGACACATCCAAGTTTAAGGCCTGAGGCTTTTTCCAACAAGGCCAAAGCAGTTCATGTGCGGGTGTTTATTATTTACCCAATGTGTTTATTGTTTGGCATGTGACATAAATGGATGACTCACAGCTGGTTATTAAACTTGTGAACAGGGACCTAATAAATGTGATGGTTTGATTTCTTGAGAGGCATCACTTTTGTTGGTGAAACATTTAAATGATCTCCTAATCATTTCAATCAAGTCATTAAAACAAACAAGCACAAGGCCTTCAGTTGTTGCTCTAGTGTCCTGGCCGCGCGGCCAAGTTTCTCTGTGACAGCGGCTGCCACAATTTGTCACAAGCGGCTCAAGCCGCGCGATATACGCGATTTGGCCGCAGAAATCGCGTTTGGTCTGAACGCACCATAAGTGTCTTGCCCAAGGACACAACAACAGCAAACATCAGAGGGAGTCAGTGGAGTTTAAAAATCAGATGAAAACGCTGATTTGGAATAAAAAACCCAGACTAGCATGTGAAGCTAACAGTCAGCTAGCATGTGAAGCTAACAGTCAGCTAGCATCTGAAGCTAACAGTCAACTAGCATCTGAAGCTAATAGTCAGCTAGCATCTGAAGCTAACAGTCAACTAGCATCTGAAGCTAATAGTCAGCTAGCATCTGAAGCTAACAGTCAACTAGCATCTGAAGCTAATAGTCAGCTAGCATCTGAAGCTAACAGTCAGCTAGCATCTGAAGCTTACAATCTTATAGCGTGTATGCGAAGCTGCAGATATGACACAGACAGTATCGTAACAGACTGTTTTAATCATAAACTCTGGCAGAAGCAAATTAGGATCAGAGCCGAGGGAGGCGGGTCCAGAGAGTAATTGTGTTTACCCATAATGCACGAGTCTGAGTCAATATCTTTATCTGGTTTAGCTCATCGCCCGCTTTAATTACACATGAGGCCGTTCATAAAATTACCTTTAATGTCCACGGCACACAAAGAGAAGCAGGAGGGGTTTCTCATCAGTAACTGCTTCTAATGGATCGGATCATTACCTTCGCTGCTGATTGAAGACTGACGGTTGGAAAAAGATTCAGACTGAGTCATAAATTCCCTCTGATGAAAAAACGATCTATGTCTACGGCATTACAGAAGCAGTTTATTTGAAAAAATACATCAACAATTGCAAAAATTGGGCAAAATATATCTTAACTTGACCACATTCTTACCTATATTTTATCAAAACAGATGTGGTACAAAAGAGATTCCTGCATGTGAAAGCCAGATTCTGTCACAACTTTGAAGTTAAGGAGGGCAAGGCCTGGTTAGTACTATGATGGGAGACCTCCGGTGTCAGGGTGAGTGCGGATGTTTTGTGGCGTGACGTTGGGACCCGCTGCATCTGTACTTTTGGACTGGTCTCCCCCCGGTCCTGGTCTCTCCCCCTTCTCCCCCGCCTGGGAGCCTCCTCAGTCCTGCACCGTGCAGCCTCAGTCCTCGTTCTACAGCCTGGTTCTTGGAGTAGATTTCTCTCTCAATATGGGCCTTCCTGAGTTTTCTCACTTTTTTTGTCGTTCCTTGCTTATTTTAATGTTTTAAAGCAAAGAACAATCACACACACAACGGGCACTGCTCAGAAAGAAAGTCATAAACACATGAAGAAGATGACATAGTCTGGGATCGCGTCTTTCATTCAGACAGAAGACATGTTTTATTGTCGATGGTAGAGACAGCACGAACAACACAAACAACAGAATGCAAGTGTATTATACAGAGCGGAGGCATGGAGACCTCCAATCAGCAGCTGCCACAGAGCCATGTAGCTTGGCCTTCAGATAGACAAAACAAGGGAAAAGTACAGGCTTCTGCACATTGATAGAATGATGAGTTTAACTTTAACAAAAGTTGCTTCAAAGTGTTATGAAATCTCACACACATATATACACAAAGGAAGAAGAACCCTAACCCTCAGGCATCAGCAAAGAATGACAACAACACCAAATTGAAACAAAAAACTAGAATTGAAAACATGTATAATAGGTCTGGGATGCATCTCCTCTTCTGCAAAGCTGCTTCCATCACTGAGGGAGAGGAAAATGACACACAACTGTCTAAAGTGCATGCATAAGGCAGCTCAAAGTGCTAAACAAAACAAAAACAAACGTCCAAATGACTTATAATAAAGGCGACATGGAGGCGACAGTAAAGCAACTCTCTGACCTGGCTATTGTTGCCGGGAGAAGAAAGAGGAGCAGATAAAGGTGAGTCCTCTGCATGTTTGAATGAGAGCTCCCGTGACTGTGGGGCGACACCCTTTGCCCTGGAGCCGGCCCGGTGCATTGTGGGAAGGAGGTCAGTTGGCAGTCTCACCCCAGGGAGTATCCCAGATTAGGGCTGCGCGGTCTCTCACATGAATATGCACCCACCGCTTTGTAAACAGCAGCAGCCAATACACACCGAGAGAGAGACGAGGTGTGGAGAAGGCACAAACAGACTGCAAATATATGAGTTTTTTTGTGATTATTTTGGACTTAAAACAAAAAAAGTTCAATGAATGAGCTTGAATCCATACTTATTTTCTATTGTATTTCTTTACAGATGTATACACTGCAGAAAATGGTCAAATATGTGGTAATAGTTAGACCAACATGAACAGATATTCACACAATGCCAGTGATGTCATACAGGAAGAATCATACACCGTCCAATCAGCGTTCTCCCCGGTTTCCGTGGCTTCGGCCTTGAGAAAACCAAAGCATGTATACCTTCTGAGATCAAAGTAGTCCCATTGATGCCTGTTTTACTTGGTGGCAGATTGTGAAGCAGCAGCAGAAGCAGCAGGACTAGAATTACCCGTCCAGCAGCAGAAGCTTTGATGGTTGTTGCAGTAATTAGCGGCCGCAGAGAATCCAAAGCCCATCACCGTGTTTTCAGTAAAGACACCATTATAAACTGGACATTCTTCACACAGAGAGGCCTCCGGGGCAGAACCAGGGCCAACAAACACATGGTGAAGGCTGTATAAAGGTATTTTCAGATGTTACTGCAATATAAATGACAATAGATTTTATTTTATTTTAGTGCACTGCAGAAAATGATAAGATACGAGGTAATAATTGCTTGAATTTAGTGGATTTGATCTTAATCTTTGTACATTGTGACTGTGTTAAAACAAGATTCTCCAACGGGACAAAGCCATTTAGTCTCATTTCAAGAACTGTTGCTTCATTTTCTCATTCCAAGGGAGACATTTCTTGCATATTTTAAAACAAGATCATTTTGCTTCGTCCCATCAGCGAATCTAGTTTTAAGGCTCAGTCAGAATGTGCTCAAATAAAGATACATTTTGCCAAATTAATTGCCAATAATTGGATTCAGCAAGTTTAAGTTATTCTTCAGCCTCATCCCTTCGGTCACAAATGCGTCTCTATATCTATGTTAAAGTATGTACAAAGCTAAATTCTTTTTGTATCCATATTTTTTAATGCTTTTTTATGTCAACATTTTTTTGTTATTGTTCATTTATCTTGTGCTGTGTGCTCCTCATTCCTACTGTTCTGTAACTGGTGATGCAACACTGACATTTCCCCGCTGTGGGACTAGGGCTGCACGATATTAGAAATGAGTGCGATATTCGATATGAGTGTTTAGTAGTTCGATATTATTGCGATATTTTTATCTTTCACCTAAAATTGCAATCTGCTTTGAAACGCAAAAGACAAAAAACACAAAACAATCACAACATTAATGACATTCAAATGCATATATTTATATACTTTTTGTTTGTTGTTCTTGTTGATTGTTTTTATTTTTATCGCAGATATATTTGATACGGATATCGCACGCACCAATATTGCGATAACAATATTTTTCCGATATATCACGCAGCTCTATTTGGGACCATTAAAGGATCTCTTCATCTCAATCTTACTGGGTCTGAAAAAGAGAAATGAAGAAAGATACATGACCCTCGACGACATTTATGGACCAATGGCTCTATGTGTGTGTTTTTAATCGTTGCATTTCCCGATTTTGAACAGTTTGATTCTCTGATCTGGGAGGAGTTCGGAGAGTCCATGGAGCATGACTATCGGTCGGCCTCGAAGAGATTCTGGCAAACCATCCGGCGCCTCAGGAGGGGGAAGCAGTTCTTTGCCAACACCATGTACGGTGCGGGTGGAGAGCTGCTGACCTTGACTGGGGATATTGTCGGGCGGTGGAAGGAATACTTTGAGGTTCTCCTCAATCCCCCCGTCACGTCCTCCGTTACAGAGGCAGAGGCTGAGGATGTTGGGGCGGGTACATCCATCTCCCTGGCTGAGGTCACCAAGGTGGTTGGTAGCCTCCATGGTGGCAAGGCTCCGGGTGTGGATGAGATCCGCCCTAACTATCTAAAGTCTCTGGATGTTGTAGGACTGTCTTGGCTGACACGTCTCTGCAACATCGTGTGGCGATCGGGGGCAGTGCCAATGGAGTGGCAGACCGGGGTG